GCGAGGCTGCCTGGGGCCTCAGAGCATGTGTAGCCTGTGGCAGTTTCCCAACCCCAACCCGTGTTGGGGTCGTTGGCTGCTCTAACAAGTGACCACGTACTTAGTGGCTTATAACAACAAAATTTACTACCTTATGCTTCTGGAGGACAGAGCCCAGCAGGTGTTGGCGGCCACGTTCCTCTGGGAGGCTGAGGAGAGAACCGTGTCCTTGCCACCTCCAGCTTCCAGAGATGCTGGCACGCCGTGGTCCCTTGTCCCTCTGCACCGCCAGCTGCGCAGCGTGTTCCCACATCTCCCTACCCCAGTGGCAACATATCTGTCTCTCTCCTGCCTCCCCCTCTCCCTTATAAGGACCCTTGTGATTACATGGGGCCATGCAAGTGACCCAGGATCAACTCCCCATCCGAAGTTCCTTTTGCCATGTGAGGGGACACATTCACAGGTTCCAGGGCCTAGGACGTGGGCACATTCTGTCTACCAGGCCACCCCCTGTGGTGGGAAAGATGATTAGGGTAGGTGGGTGGGTGGATGGGGTGTTCAGGAAGGTTTTGGGGTCAAGTTTTGACCCTCAGGCTTTCTGTCCCTCAGCTCATGGCTCTCCCAGCTGCTATTGGCCTGGAGCAGCTCAGAGGAAGGAAGCACAGGTGTGGCCACCTTGTGAGGTTGTCCCCACCTGGAGGTCAGGAGAGGGGTTCCAGGCTGGGACCCTGGCAGTCACTTCCCTTCTGTTTCCTCCCTGGGCCACCTCTTCCCTGTGGCTGGAACATCCCAGGCCCTGGTGGAGAAGCCCACCTGTGGCTCTGTGGGAACACAGCAGCCCCCGAGGCTGTGGGTCTGCATGTGTCGTGGTCAGAGTGGGCTGAAACCAGGAGCAGCTGGGAGGACTCGTCCCTGTGTCCTCGTCCTCTCAGTAGTGTCCTGCGTGAGCTCATGGAGTCTCATCGTCCTCCACCCACATTCACTGTCACCGTGCAGGTGAGGAAGGGCCCTGGAGAAGCGTCCTGAGTGGGGTCAGAGCCATCCATTGGGACCACCTGCATCTGCCACTGCAGACTCTCCCCTCCTCAGGGAGGGTGGAGCCGATGGTGGTCAGTAATGGGCTGCCCCTACGAAACCCCCTGTGAAATGGTTCTCGTATCGTCCCCCCTAAAGATGAGGACACTGAGGCTTGGTGGGGAAGTGACTGAAACTGAAGACAGTCTGAATGGGAGCCCAGGGGTCATGCCACTTACCACTCCACTCCGCTGCCACCCCAAGCATTTTATGGCTGGTCCCCTCCTTGAGGCCGGCCTCATTCAGTGGCCTGGGAGCAGAGCCAGCCCCACGGGGCCGGGGCCAGGCTGACCCCCAGCGAGTGCACACACTCACATGTGGCTCTTCGTTTTCAAGGGTGATTTGGAACTGCTCCGAAACAGCTTGTCTTTGAGAAACTTGTGCCATCACTTGTTCCTAGCTCCTTCCTAGTGGCATTTGTGGAACCCACCTTGTGGACTGCTGGTGAGCGGCCCGGGCTTCTCTGCGGGCTCAGCTGCTGCACGCAGCCTGGCTCAGCAGAGCTGCGCATGAGAGCCGGGCCCTGCAGAAGCCAGGCCGCTCCCTCCGTTCTCCCAGGATGGGGCACGGCTGGTCCTGGTCTGGAGTCAGAGAAGTGAATCCATTCCAGCTGGGGGGGATGACGGTGTTGCCAATCCTACCTGTGCATAGCCTTGCTGGGCTCACATACCCACTGTCAGGGACAGCTGCGATCATCAGCATCGTTGCTATTAAGTCACTGTTAGGTTTATTTTCTCATATTTCCTAAACAGCACCCCTGGGTCCCAGGAGAGACAGGCCATGGCCTCCTTTTAAATTCAGGACGTGTAATACTCTCAGAGAAAAGCAGACCTCTCTGCCCCGCCCCATTACGGGAAGGTTGGCTTTCCTCCAGTGTTATGGGAAGCCTTGCTGCCCTTGCACCTGGACCTGAGATGCTGGAGCTGTAGGAAATGCCCCAGCTATAGGAATAAGGAGACGGCTGCTTGTTGAGCACAGAAATTCATTCATTTGGCAGGCAGTCACTGTGGGTGTCAGGCACTGGGGTAGTGTGACCAACTGTCCCAGTTTGCCTGGCACTGAGGGTTTCCTGGATGTGGACTTTTACAACCAGGAAGGCCTCAGGAGAACCAGGGAGGTTTGTCACCCTAAGACTGGGGACACAGCAGAGAGCAAGGCAGATGCTGCCCTGGCCTTGTAGAGAGTTGCCCTTCTGTGGGAAGGTGGACAAAGAAGCCAGTGGTCATGGCTGCAACTGTGAGCCCTGGGCGGGGTCCTGCCCCTAGCCCAGGGAAGGGACTGCCTGGCCGGGCCCACCCCCAGGCTGGGAGGTCAGGGTCACTATCCCAGCTGTGCCCATGAGGTAAAGGAGGCTCAGGCTGGCAAAGGGACTCCCTGAGAACGATTGGTCAGAGGAAAGCCGAGCCCCAGCCTGGCCTCCTACTCAGGTTCCGGCTCTGTCCACAACCCCTGACCCCCAGCCTGACCTCCGGACCACATGTCCCTCCTGCCCCTAGAGAGAAGGTGGCAAGGCAAGAGCCCACTGGGAGCTGTGTTCACAGGGAGAGCCAGCTCCAGGGCGTCATCAGCCTGGTCTTCCCTGGGGCCTTGCAGAGCCGGGGGCTAGGGGTGGGCTAGACAGCTGCTGGGCGCAGCTCTGCAGAGGCCCACAGACCAGTCCTTGCTGCCCTGCGGCTGCACAGTTCTCTGCAGAAGAAAGGATGGGAGCAGAGCTGCAGTGAGCCAGCCACCCCGCCAACTTGCACAGAATTGCATCTCCTTTAATGGAGCGGCACCAAGCTGGCCACCCACACTCTCTCTGTCCTCTACTTTATTCACTGGGCTCACACTGTGCCTGGTTCCATTGACTGTTCAAGAAACATTTGCTGAGACCTGGCCTGTGTGGCTCCAAGGATGGATGGACACCTCCCTGTGCTGGGCCACATGTCACAGACAAGGAAACCAGTGGTTTGGGACAGAAGCCACTGTCCTGCCAGTGCTGAGGCTCATGATGCAAATTTCTCAAATGACTTCTGTGTGCCAGGAGGAGGGCTGGGTTGTTGCTGTGACAGAGCCCGTCTGGGGGTGTTCCTAGAATCAGAGCATGCCTCTCTCTCATGCTGTGGCCCACAGGTCCGTGTACCACAGAAGTTATGTTATCACATCTCATCTGTTAGTGTTAGCATCAGCCCCATTTTACAGAAGAGGAAACTGAAGCCTAGCAGGTGTAGTGACATGCCTTGGGCCCCACAGATAGAAATGGCCAAGCCCAGGTCCCACTGGTCCTAGCTTCTGGGCTCAGCAGAACCGAGCAGCTAGAAGAAAGAAGAGCCTGTCTTCAGGCTGTGTGCCATGTGCTAGGCACTGCTGGGAGTACTTATGTGTGCTGCAGATAGGCCAGTGGGCAGGGATGCAGGACCCCCAGGTTCTCCCAGCCTGGTCAGACTCAGCCCTGGTGGCTCTGCATATCCAAACATGTAGGATGCAGCAAAAGCAAGGTTTTGAGGGCAAATCATAGCCTTAAAAACATATATTGGAAAAGAGAAAGGTGTCCTTTCCTCCAGGAAGCCCACCCTGCTGCCACCCCCAACACGTGTGTTGAGTGAAGGGCCCCACAGTGAGCTCCACCATGAGCCCCACCCAATTGCTGTACTGTCACAGAGTCCCAGAATGGCTAGCTCTGGGTGACCTCTGTCTCACTGGATTGTCAACTGCCTTGACACTGGGACTTGTTCCATCTCTGTGCCCCTCATCACACAGGCTGCAGGTGTAGCAGGGGGTGAGGGGGCTTGGCAATAAATGTTGGAATGAATAATGCTTTGCCCTGTTGGTGGGGGATGGGCGTGGGGTCAGCCAGCTGTGGGACCGTTGGGGCTGTGTTCTCCATCTGGGAAGGGTGGCCCTGGGCCAGGCTTCCTGGAGGAAGTCTGACATCATAGCAGCCACCCTTAGAAATGTTTTTTGTCTTTTGTCCCAATAATTCCATCTTCAGACTCTATCCTAGGAACATAAACACAGTTTTCCAACAAAGCTCATTGTAGAAATGTGTACGTCAGAGTTATTTTCACACTAAAAAAGTAGATACAAGGTAAATGTGGTTGGGCACATAAACTGCAGTTTGTTTCTGTGATGAAATCCTCTGCAGCCTTTAAAACATACTCACAGAACCTACAGCACGTGGGACACGCAATTCTTCTGGTCCAAGACAGCAGAAGGCAAAGCTGGACTCGGCCGCGGCAGCCACATGGCCGTAAAGGCAGGAAAGCACTGGAGGGCGATGCGCACGTGCTGTTAAGCGTGGTGTTGGGCGAGGGGCTGGAAATAGGTGGAATTTTTTGAAAATTATACTTACTTCTGTAAACTTTCCAAGGTTTTTATAATGTTGTGTAAAAGCTTATAATTTTATGTAAACAACAGGGGGCCTGGCGAGCCTGGTGAGGCCCACAGTGCTGGGGATGACAACGGCCTTCCTTGCCCCCAGAGAAGTCTCTCTGGCTGAGCCTTGGCTGCTGCATCTGACACTGACTTGCAGGCACTGGTGTGTGTGAATAGGCACATATACAGCAGGGGCACAGCCACCATCAGCTGCCCCGCTGCCCTCCTGGAAGCCCACCCGGGGCCCCTTTCACTGTTCTCACCCCTGCAGTTTCGGGGTCTCTCACCTGGACAGGAGCCCCTGACTCACTGGAGAGCTCCACAGTGCGACCCCTCTTGGTGGGCTGTGGCAGGAGCTTCCAGGAGGCCCTCTCAGACCCCCATGTGATCCAGGGGCCTCCTTGGCCCCTCCAGCCTGGCACAGATTCCTGGCTATAGTTCTAGCCTCCATGCCTGTCTCCAGCAGATAGCACTTTGGGAGAGCAGGGGCTGGTCACACATCTGTGTCCCCAGGAACAGCCTGGCACAGAGGGGCTGGCAGCCCTGATGGGAGAAGACAGCCCCTGATGGTCTTGTGTTGCTGTCACTTGCAGATGTGCTGGTGGACGGACAGCTATGTGACTGCGAGGCGGCAGCGGCCTGCCAGGTGGGCGACCCCGTGCGCCTGGAGGTGCGTCTGACCAACCGGAGCCCGCGCAGTGTAGGGCCCTTTGCCCTCACCGTGGTCCCCTTCCAGGACCACCAGAATGGCGTGCACAACTACGACCTGCATGACACCATCTCCTTCGTGGGCTCCAGCACCTTCTACCTGGATGCGGTGAGTGGTGGAGTGCAGGGGGGTCTCGAAGCCCCCGGCCATGCAGCCCAGGCCTCCATGGTCATCATCCCCCTTCCCCAGGAGGTGGGCATCAGAGTTGCCAGGGGTGGGCACACACAGGCTTCTCTGGTCCACATGTGTTGACGCCACAGCACCCGACACAGTGCATGAGCTATGCCTAGGACAGCATGTGGCTTGGTGCATGTCAGATCCTGCTATGGTATCATTGTGTCCTTCCTACCCCAAGGTCACCACACGCTGGGCCCAGAGGGACTGATGAAGTCCCAGAGGGCAGATTCAAGCCCTTGCCCCACCTCCCAGCCCGCCTGCTCAGCCCCTCCGCAGGCTCAGCACAGCCTCATGCCGCCCTGGCCTTCCCTGGCCTCTCCCCACGCTGCCTGCACACTCCTGCTCTCAGTGAACCCCAGACAGTGTGGGGAGGGACGTGTTAGCTCAGAGAGGCGCAGCCACTGGGCCAAGGCGGCACAGCAAAGAAACCCTGGAGGGGGAACAGGAGCAGAGCCTGGTGGCCCTCCCCTCCCGGTGCCCCCATGTCTGGGCAGGTTCAGGGCGGGGGTTTCCTGGTGGCGTTGGGTGGTCGGTGCCACTGGTCTGGCTGACGCCTCTTCTTCCTTCCCGCAGGTGAAGCCATTGGGTCAGTCCGCCTGCCTCGGGGCCCTTCTCTTCCTCTATGCGGGTGACTTCTTCCTCCATATCCGGTTCCACGAGGACAGCAGGAGCAAGGAGCTGCCACCCTCCTGGTTCTGCCTGCCCAGCGTGCACGTGCGCGCCCTGGAGGCGCAGGCCTGAGCCCCCGCGGCCCCCTCGCCCCTTCCCACGCTGCTCACAGGCCCCTGCGCAGAAACCGCTGTTCACTCACGCCTGGGGGGTGGCGCCTGCCCAGCCCGGTCCTGGGCGTCCCTGCACCTGCACCTGTGACCTGGGGACCACACAGTGGAGGATGCTCCGTCCCCTGGCAGTCCCTGTTGGCCACGGGAAGAAGAGCTGAGTGTGAGGATGGGCACGGCCTGGACAGCCCGTCTCCCTCCTTGGCCCTCGGCATCCCCTGGGGCTGGTTCTTTTCTCTGAGGTGCACATGGGTGGCCCAGGCAGAGGAAACGGTGCCGTAGGTGGTGCGGGGTGGATGATGCCGAGAGCGCCCCGCCCACGGCTGTCCCTAAGCCCGGGGACCCTTCCAGCTGCACCTCCCCGCTGGGCTCCGCGTGCTGAGGCCTGGGTGTCGTGTCTGTGACGAGTTCTTCAATAAAGGGCCTGCCTCGCTCCCCTTCTGCGTCCTTCCGTCTGCTTGCCCAGTGTGGTCAGGACCCCCATCAGTCTCCGACTCAGGTGGGAGTTTCAGCACACGGGCCAAGTGGTGGCCGGCAGCGTTGGCCCTGCCCAGGGCTCTGTCCCCACAGCCCCTCCAGGGTTCCCAGGCCACCCCTCCCCGTGCTGGGCGCTCTCTGGGCCTGGCTCCCCAACCCCCTCAGGACACTTTCTTGAGCCCCCACAACGCGGTCCTTGGCCACTCTGAGTCCATCATGGCTCTGGCCATCTCAGCCTCCTGTTTTCTCTCATGAGGTCCACACGACACCTGTCCCCTCCTCTCACACCACACAAATGCTCATGAAAACATTCAGAGGCAACAGCAGGTCAAAGAAGCCTGGGCACAGATACATACAGGCGACCTCATTGACCCCCTGTGAGCCCGCCTCCTTTTCCTCTTCACTCCCCTCGGGGTCACCCTGCAGCTCCACACACCCTGTCCCCACTGGTGCCCACCACAGCCCCCTACAGCCCTCACCCCAGCCCTGTGGGTGTGCAGAGTGCCACCTGTGCCCAGGCACCATGAGGTCTGAGCAAAATTTGGGGGCCAACTGCTGAGGCAGTTTGGGGGGGCACACGGTGCAGGGCAGTGGCTGAGGCTCCTGGCCCCACCCCACCCCCATTTCCACAAGGCCACCCGGGAACAGGGAGGCACTGTCACTTGGGGATGGAGGAGGATGGACAGTCACTAGGTGGGTGGTTGTGGGGCCCAGGGGCATGTAGGATCTGGGGTTCCCCAATTAAAATAGCTCCCTCGAAAGCTTCCAGCTCAGGTCAGGGAAGAACTTTCCAGGACCTTCACTCTCACAGGGAACGGCAGCACGGTGTCCATTGGGTCATTGGACAAATTTCATGGAGTTCCTCCTGTGCCAGCTGTGGCCTGGACACCACCTGGGCCCGGGGCAGGGCATTGACCCCATCACAGATGGGAAACTGAGTTTTCAAGAGCCTGGATCACACAGTAGGAAGCAGCAGAGCAGGGTCAGAAGCCTGCCTGGCCAGGCAGATGGGGTCCTGCCCCCTGCTTCAGCAGTGTCACCCCAAGGAGAAAACCTTCAGCCTCAGAATGATGTTCACAGCCCCTCAAGGGTGCTTGGGTGCAAGCCCAGGCCTGAGGATGTCCCCGGCGTGGCAAGCACCTGGCCCCACCACCACCGCCGCCTCCACAGGCTGTTGCTGCCCAAGGGCCCGCCCCGAGGGCTGGAGTCCTGCCGCAGCTGCTCAGTGGGCCTTGGCCCTGGGGTGGGGGGGTGCTGTTTTCAAATCGCACATAGCTACCATGAGGGCCAACCTGGCCCTGTTTCCAGGTCTGGTTCCCTCCCTCCCCATCGGCCTCTGTCCAGGAGTCCAGAGCTGGAGGAACTGTGGAGAGCCTCCTGGCTAAGCCTGGCTTCTCCGCAGGGCCCAGGAAGGGACGGGGCTGTGGTCTTGGTTAGTGTGCCCCTAAGTGAACCCTGAGACGAGAATGCGGGCACAAGGAGCTTGTCTATGAAGTGCAGGGGCCACCCAGAGGGGAGCACTGAGACATAGGGAAGGGACACAGCCGGTTAAGGGAGCACTGTTGGGCCGCTACCAGAGTGGTAACCTGGCACTGGCTTCCACAGGGAGACCTGGGGCAGAGTGGCCATCCCACCCAGGGGTGAGAGCTGGGGCGGTCGTGCACCAGATGCTGAGAGATGCCCCCAGGGGCTACGCCCGGCTATGGAAACTCCTGCACTGCCAGCCTGCTGCCCGCGAGCACTATAGGGCTTCCCACTTCCTAGGGAGGACAGACAGCCCTCAGAACCCACAGATGCCAGCCTTGGGAGTCCCTGGAGCACCGAAAGTTCCAGGGAATATTGGGGGGCAGGGAGAAGGGCTGAGGCTTGCCCGAGGCCACTTGGCCAAATGGGCAGAGCCAAGAAGGGGCTACCTGGGCCTGCCATGGGGCAGAGACATGTCAGACTGGAAACTCTGGGCCCAATTCAATTCCCCCTCACTGGGAGCAGGATCACCCTGCAGCCTCCAGGTCCAGGAACTGGGTTTTCTGGCTGCCCATCTGTGGCCTCCTGCTTCAGCCCAGCAGATGGGGATGCATTGTGATGTAGAGGGTTGGGGCATGTGGCTGGCAGGCTCCGGCTGCCCTTGGTCTCTTGAGCACAGTCATTATTCACCCATAGCTCATGACTCTGCAAGGAAAGCAACCTGGGAAGGTCCACCTGCAGCAGGGGATGGGGACCTGGGCAGGCCTCTGCAGCTTTCCCCTCCTGGACACTGCAGAGCAGGGCAGCCTGGCCCCTAGGGTTATTTCTAATCAGAACAAGCAATACCTGTGCATGTCAACCCGAACACACCCTCAAATGTGCTGTGAGTGAAACAGCTCCTCGCAGAATAATGGGACAGCCCAACCCACTCGTGTAAACAACCCCCCAAAGTTATTCATTTTCTAGGCACCACAATATGTCTACAAAAACATGTTTCAAAGATGAGAGGAATGCGCACGTCTCCTAGAATAGCGACCTTGTCTGGGTGTGCAGGTGACAACTCATCTGCTGTCAGAATGGGGGCGCAGGTCAGGGGGACTTTAGTAATGTTGCACGTCATTTTCAATAGCATAATAGGTTGATAAAGGTATAGATCCAGATCCAGATCCAGATACAATCCTAGAAAAGCTAATGTGGAAAAACTCTAGCCGTGTTTGATGCCGAGTGGCGAGCCAATTTGAATCATTATGGCTGTGGAGCTTTTGGAGGATCTGGGACTGGTGTCCCAGTGACAGCTCGACATCCTCCTGGTTCTTCCAGGGACCCATGCCTCCCCTTCACAAGGAAGAGCAAGGATCCAGAAGAAGATGTCTGAGGAGCTGAATTCCAGCCCAGTCACTTGTCAGCTCTGTGACCTCAGAAAAGTTATTTAAATTAAGCCTTGATGTTTTTATCTGAATAAATGGAGATAAAAAATACTTATCTCTTAGACACTTTTACATTAACAGTTTGATTTAATCTTCTCGATATTCTCAGCACATGAGAGCAACTTCTCAATAAATACTGGGTCCCTTCTCCTACCCTTCCCGTTGTCTTTCTTTTAAATCTCATCTACATGTCCTGTCATGTGCCTGAAATGTCACCATTTTCCTGAGACCCTTAACACACAGCATTGTTTTGCTCCATTAGTCCACTGCATGGGTTAACTTGTTAGGTAACATGAAGCAGTATAAAGCAGAAATTTATATCACAAATGCTCAACCGGGAAATGCATAATGAAGGAGTGAGCTCTTTGTCGTCATAGGTATTCAAGCAAAGGCCAGACCTGTGGATGGTTTCACAAAATTCAAGCATCATCTTGGGCCTCTGAGCCTGCCATCCCAGAAAACCACTGTCATTATGACATCTTAAGAGCTAGCTCTGGTCCCATTAAGCAGGGAAGAAAGTGAGATGTATGTGACCACCTGGCTCCTGAGGCCTCTGAACAATGTCTTCAGGGATTAAGACAAATAAATATAGACCACAAGTGGATTTTAAGATGATGAACTAGAGGCCTAGACAAGGGATCCAGACTAAGCATTCTACTAAAAACAACAAAAAAGAATGTTAATTATCTAAAAGACAAACAAAAAACCATTTATAAGTGCATCCATGAGCTGGCAGGAAAATCAGATATACTCAACCCAGTACCTTTGTAAAGGCAAAATCCAGAGAGGTGAGCTAAGCATTGATGCCAACTTTCATTTTGAGGGCTTTTGCCAAAGCAGGATCATCTGTTTTTGCAGTCTTACAAACTATAGGAAGACAAAGTCCAGGGCCCACCAGGTGGGGAGTCTAACCGAGACTGCTTCCCGTTAATTTGGGAGCCAAAGGATTATACTTTCAGTAAATGGTGAACTAAAAATAATCCTCCTTCCACCCTACTAGATGAGTGGAAATAAAATTGCTCCATCTTGACCCTTTGATATCAACCCAAATTGTCCTTCCCATGAATTTGCATTCCCAAATCACACTCCATAAATGCCTTCTCCAAACCTCAAGTTATTAATTAATTTCAAAGTGGTCCTAGACAGACAGTACCCCCTCACACACACACCAGACATCTTATGGAAATAAACACATCCTTTCTGGAAGAATCCACTTTTATTCCAAACCTACAAGGAAAATAAATAATGCGGAGTTTAAAAGCAAAGTCATTAAATACACAAGGAAACAATGTGTCATGTGTGAGACCCAGAATAAACAAAATCAACAGACACAGGCTTGAAAAAGAATCAGATGTTGGACTGTAAAATACACACATAGATGGTAAAATAAGTGTGCTTAATATGTTAAAAGAAATGAAAAAGAATATTAAAATCAGTAAAGAGCTAGAGCATCATAGAAGAATCAAACAGAACTCCTATAACTGAAAAAATAGAACTAAAATAAAATACTTAGTGAATAGGTTAAAGAGCAGATTAAACCCAGCTCAAGAAGAACTAGTGAGTGGGAGATAGAACTGGAGATGTCATAAAAGTGCAGTCCAGAAAGACCAGAAAATATGAAGGGACTTAACAAAACATGGAGGACAAAGTGAGAAGTTCTCATATGTGCCAAATTGAGTTCTTGGAGAAAAGCTAAAGAGAATAGAGAAAAAACAGTATTTGAAGAAATAATGTCTGAGAACTTCTCAGAACTGATAAGGACAAAACCCCACAGATTCAAGAAGCCCAACAAATTCCAATAACGTAACATTTAAAATACAAAATCAACAGATTATAATATAATTTCAGAAGACTAGATGCAAAGGGATGATCTTGAAAGGAACTACAAAGACAGGGCAAATTACCTTCAAAGAAATGGCAGTTTGACTGACAGTTGACTTCTCACCAGCAACAATGGCATCCAGAGGTCAGTGGAATAACATCTGAGGATGTGCTGAAAACAAAAATACTTTCAATAGGTGAAGTTATGGCATTTTTCTTTTGACCGGTAAGGGGATCGCAACCCTTGG